ATTTGCATATGAATATTATGTTTCGCAACCTTCTCTTGGCAAAATTTTGGGAGCGCGGAGCTATACACAAGGCATTGTTTCCTACGTGAATTGCTTGGCATGCCTTTGTGGGCCAAAGCTGAATGCTAGCCTGAGAAGCACACACTCATATAAAATGAGTTTTCTAGGGTATTTCAGCAGTGGGGAGAGGCTATGAGTGGCGTTATCTCAGAACTAAAAATATAAGCTTGGTTAATAAGCTATCAAAAGATTGTGTTTGTCTCCCTTTAGACTTACTATAAGGAACATAATATTTGCCTACGGAGGGTCAACAACTACACTGCAATGAATAAAACAGCGATATATCGGTATTAACTCTGCCGCAAAAAACATCCTGCCCAGAAACTCCAATTATCCACAACAAGAAGATTCCCAGGATGAAGGAGAAGACTTCTTATTTGACCCTCCTAACATTCTCATAATGAATATGTCTCAGTTGGATTTCAGCTGGAATGCACCCAACACCATAACTTGCACTGTGCCTTTTCATGTCATTATTCCTTATGTCAAAAATCCTTGGTAGTTGTAAATTTGCTTCCTCTCTTCTTCTTTAAGGAAAGTTAACAAACAAACATTGATATTTTAAAAAAAAGTGGCTCAGGGAATGGGAACTCTTGGGATCTGTTTGCACAGACAGGTTTTGGGTCAGTTCACCATTAGAGACTGAATAAAAATCTAGGCACCTGTTCCTGCAACCTGATGCATGCCATCACTTGGCTATCAGCAGTTGGCCCCCTGTACGGTTTGCATGGGACAAACAAAGACTGTTCCCTGTGCAAGACAGATCAATGAGCACAAATCGGATAGGTTAGCATAGACAATCAGTGGAAGGGGGACATTTCCATTTCCGTATCATTACTTTCCATTACAGATCACTGTAAACAAGGCAAAGGTAGTTTAATAGACAGCTAGAATGCGAGGCTGCTGTACTGGAAGCCTGAATCACAATCTAAGTTGATTAACTCTCATAACAACTTATGGCTTGATGTCAATCTACTTGAACCCCAGTTCAACCTATGGGTTTCATTGTGACTGAAAGGTGTTTCTTTCAGTCGGTTGACTCATGTATACTTTCCCATATGTGTTTATTCCTACAGTTTCCAAAACATTTGTTCTCTCAATCATATTAGTTGCAGGCTTGTCTGTGTATGTATGTATACACATACCATACTGATGCAATTTTTAAATAGTGATTACATTTCAACTCCTTAAACGAATAAATATTAGGGTAATGTTTGGGTTTGTGCTGATTTTTTCTTGCTTTATCCTCTGTGTGGTTTGTGTTTATGCACACTGCTTGGAAATGCTAATCAACCAATATTTAAAAGCCAGCCCCGCCCCCCCGCATCAAGGGAGGTTTTTATAAGTAGGAAAATGTCTTATTTTAAGGAAAATTACAAATTCTTTCTCTGACAGGTTATTTCTCCTTCTTTCTCACCAAAGAGTAACTACTGCTTCTTCTGAGATGGTGATTACTCGTGCATTATTTGATAGAGGTTTTTATTCTTCAGAACTTCTGTTTTATTTATTAGCGTGCACATTTATGCAGATTAAAGCTCCTATGATTAATTGGCTAAGATTTCTCTAACTGAGTGTAATTTTGCCTCCCAAAACACATGCCACAATAAATCTATTAATCTTTAAAATCTTCTAAGAGTCCCTTGGCTTTGTTGTAGCAGATTAACATAACTCTTTATCTGGGCTGTTCTCATTGTACATTTACTACATCACTTCCTGTTTAGGGCGATCTCATGAAAATCCGCATCATAGGAAATATTAAAAAAGCAGAACAAGGGCCTGCTTTCTCCTGGATTTTTATGTTGTGAACCTTCTGGGCTACTAAACTGACTTTATTTGCTGGGCGGCCAGATCTGAAATGTCTATGCTGACCGTCTTCACATATCACAGTTGGAAGCTGACAAACCCATCTGTGTTGCAATTTCATACTGTCATCTGCATCATGTATATTTGAGAGTGAAGGCTAGCAAAGAAAATGGGAACTGGGGTATTCCCTCACTGTTTCCCATAAAATGGATTTTGAAACAGCTCATACCATGCCAAAACTCTGGAAGACAAGTCTTGGGAGAAGCCCGCAATGTGAATCTGCTGTCAGCAGAAAGACAGTGCCCTTCTCTGAACAACACCAAACATTTTGATAAGGCCCCTGGAAATTCTCCCTACTAACTTTTCACATCTATTCTCCCTCCTAGCCTTTCCCTATTTGAACATTTCCAACTTTTAATATAATTGGTGGGAGTGGGGGGAATGTAGGACATTCCAAGTGGCAACGGTCAAAAATGGATCTGGGTTGGAAGCTGAAAGGAAGTCCGTCAGGCAAAATCGAGGCAAGCAGCTCTGGACTTGGGACAAGGTTAACAAAAGAGAGACATCCATCTGCGAGTGGATAGGCTAGAGAGAAGCAGATTTCGTCACAAGAAGTGGGGTGAACGCTAAAGCTTCCCTGCTGATTGCAAAGCGCAGAAGTCACAAACTTCTTTCAGCTATGGAGCCCAGAAGCCCTTAGCTCAGTTTTAATCTCCCCCATAAAGTGAAGCCCCTCTCACAACTGGAGTCTTCTTGCTTTCGTAACTCCTGTGGAACTTCTGATCTCGGAGTTGCCGCCACACCTTCTTATGAAATTTCACGCTTCTTATCTGCACTGTGTTGGAGGGTTGCAAGGCGTTATCTTCATGCTGTCCTGAAGTCTGCTTCTGCGAGGAAGACTTGCCTCTTTCCTTTTTTGAGCTCACGAACAGAGCCACTATGTCACCTAACATGATGAGCAGCCACCCTAAACTTGAACAAGAGACCCTAGAAATGTGGCTATGAAATGTGCATGAGCTGGTGGGCGCATCATTATGGCCCTGTTCTTGCAAACTGACCTAGGCTTCAAAAACCCTTTCTCTACCACAGCACACGGACTGTCCTTCCAAGGAGGTGTGTCCCCTCCTGCATTAGAAAACAGTATTCCAAAGAGTGCAAAAACATCTAAACCTCTGAGCATGCAGATCAATAACTGTTTTGATGCTATCCTGCAGATGTGATTGTTGTTGTTGTTGTTTTAAAAAGGAAAGGATGAAAGCATCTCATGTGAAAGCAGTCTCACATCCCACACAGACTGCTGTTCTTTGAGCTCAAGCACACCTACTGAAGCAGTGGTCCTGTCTCCAATCCAATACCACAAGACAATTTTGTCACTGAAAATTTGTGTTTCTGCCATTTGGACACAATCGTTCAATATACGGCTCTTCCCAGCTAATTTCTCTGCAATCATAATTAAACCACCTTTCGCCAATGTACATTACAGCTCTGTTTCTCCCTCCCCCCAAGGCATAATTAGTGACACGTTTCTTTTGTAACACTAGCATGTTTTTTTGTGTGTGACCTGATAGCTCAGTGCCATTGCCTACTCTTAGTCAAAAGAAGAAGAAATTGTCTCACCAATTGCTCAACCACTGTCTTAGTGATGCGTGTGCCCTCTTAGCTTAAAAGATTACCAAGAGTCACGGCTACCTACCCTGGAGTAAGATCACAGTTTCACCTATCTAGTTTAGAAAGATGGTATGAAAGAAATCCAGACATTTCAAAATTATTCACTACAATGCCCCCTCTCTTTTTTTGGAGAGAGCAGGCGTAGCTTCTGCTCCCACCACCCCCGGACCAAGCTGTGGCAAAACACCCACAATTTCTGGGTTGCAGAACATTAGCTCCCAGTCTCCTGAAGATGTCCGGTATGTGGACAGCATCATTGCCCCATGCTCTTGAAGTTGTGTTCAGGTGGGCTTTCTTTTCCTTCACTGCCTAGGAGCTGACCAGCCCATGTCACTGAAAGGTCCCTCGCCGGTTGCTGACCTCGGCGGAGGCCCACAGGGTGTGCAGAGGTCAGAATCCGTATCTGACTCCCCTTCTGCTATGTAAGGTCTGATTTTGGCCACAGCGGTGTAGCAAACCGTTGTTAAGGACGTCCAAATTTTCTTTGGACTGTGAGATGCTGAACCCACTGAAGGAACGCTCCAGTTCCTCGTGGTCCACTGATGGGATAGAAATAGAGGTGTCGCTGTCCCTCAGAGCACTCTCTGGGTGCTTAGCTGTAATGTCTTCGTTCTTTGCGTACTCAGCGCTGGCCCTGTTCCCACCACCGTAGGCAGAGAAGGAGCGCTCGTGAGAAGGTGGAGGTGGGATTCTCACCAAAGAACCAGCATCGCCAACCGGGGAGGTCCCGTGGCTTTGCCGTTGATATGTCTGCCAAGAAGTGGAAGGGGGGCATGAGTTGTTTGGCACCGTTGTGGCAGGAGGTGCAGAGAAATTCTTCTGTCCCATCGAACTCGTGGAGCGAATGATCTTGATGATGCAACCGTTTTTGTCAATGTGCTCCCTGCTGTCTTCTGGGCTGTGGTAGGGCGGTGCTGGGTCAGGTTCCTTCGGCCCAAAGTAGGCTTCTGTTTCGTTTGGTGGGATCCCCATCCGTTGCATGTAGATGTTGACCAGGAAGTCCAGCTTCTTCTCCATGGACTGGACCTGGAAAATGCCACACAGGACCCAATGCATGGGCACCCACAACATTTTAGACCCAAGCAACTTTGGATTCACCCCAAACTTCATCTTTAAAATGTTATTTTGCAGACAAGTCATCCCCTGATCCATGAAAAAAACACACCAAATTCTCTTACAAATGTATAGCCAACTGCACCCCAAGGAGACATGAAATTCTGCAACCAAACCAATGCCAGTACCACAAATATGTATACCAGGTGGGGGAACATTTGACCATCCAGATGTTGCTGGGCTGAAACTCTAGTCATCCTTAGCCACTGACCATGCTTGATGAGACAGTTGTGGGAGTTGTAGATCAGCAACATCTTGACAGCTAACGGTTTCCCACACTCAATGTATATGCTTCCTTATCATGCCTCTTTGGCTTAAGCCTTCCATCTGCACCTTGGCTCATACAAGAGCTAAGTACATGGTAACAGCATTTGCCTAGATTCACCCTTGGGTAATAAGTTTTTTAACCTTTTTCTTCCTTTGATGGGCATTCATCATGACATATAGGAAGGAAGAGGGAGGTGAAAATCAGATGGAGAAATAAGACAGAGAGGCTCCCTCTCTATTAGATCAATTGCCATTTAGCTCCTCCCTTCCCAGAGCTGCCTTCATCAGAGGCCAGTCTACTCAGCTTCTTAAGAGGGAGAGGTGACACAATAAGGCTTGCTTGCTTGCTTCCTCCACCCCACCTTCCCCCACAAATTCACATTAATGAATTTTTAAATTATTATTTACAAATTTTCAACATACCTGTTTTTCCACCTTTCCAAGTCTGCCCATCATACTTGGATCTTCAGGAGGCTCCCCTTCACCTGGGCCTTTGGTTCGGTCCTTATCTGTCATTGACGGCCCTCTCCCAACAATCTGGTCAACTCTACCAGGAGCACAAACCCCACCCCAGAAAAAGCCATGAAGTTAGTAAGCTACAATCAAGGATCTAGAACTCTGCTCTATTCTGACTCCTCTGTAGGGCAAAGGAAATGTATTCCCCTTAACTGATAAGTATCACACAACTGTTTGCCTAAATAGAGGGAGGCAGTTAAATATAAACTTGGACACAAAAACATATCTCTATTTCTGTATGTGACATATATATTGGTTCAAAACACGTGGCTCCACTTCTAATCCGGCATATTATGCATAGTAAACTTGCCCTTTGAGATTAATTTGGTGTCAAGCCTGTTAATTATCAAATAAATTAGGATGTTTTGGGGCAGTTGCTTGTGGATAGATTTTGTCTACATATTTAATCTGAACATTATTTCTGTTCTTCTCTGCCTAAAAAGTTCTGAAGAGTCCTGCAGTACTTATTCATGTTAAAAGGTATCGGTTTGAAGGTTCAAATTTTACAAAATTTTACAAATTTTACAAAATTACAGGTTTCCAAAAACTGACACCGACATAATAAATTAAGGTTTCCAGTTTGCAAGATCTGAACTCTCCATTGCACCGTAAATTGGTTCTGGATTAAATGAGACTTTTTGAGCTTCAAAATCTCTGAATCCAGATTACATTCTCAAAAGCTGATACTTGTTTCAGCTGTCCTTGAGATGTGGGCAGCTGCCTATGCCCAAATTGTAATTTTTTTGTTTGCTTGTTTCCGTATTAAATGGGTAAATAATAATTATTATTATTATTATTATTATTATTATTATTATTATTATTATTATTTTCCTGATCTCAGAGGTGAACTTTGCAGACAATGGCCTTGTTGTCTTGGATAGTAGCCATTAACTTTCTCAAACCCAAGAGTTCTCTAACATTAATCTACAACATGGAGCTCATTTTTAATTGCCCCATATCCATATCTCTTCCTGCAAGAGAACAGCATGAGCAATAGCTGTGGTGACTGGGGCTGATGGAAGTTGTAGTCCAACAACCAACACAATGGACCATATATTTCTAATTCTTGGCACTGATCAAATGGAAGCATGGCTTAACGCAGACAGTTCTGTTTCCTAGTATATTTTACAATACAGCAGTTCTGAGTAAAGATTGTGTCAGCCCCACCTAATATCACAGTCACAGACTTCATTCTACCCCAGAATATAGTCATTTATACTAGGCAGGCATTGCATTGCTTTTTATATTTAATAAAAATCCTATCCATACATGTGGTTTTATTATGTACGTGGTTTTTTTAAAAAAGGGATATATATATAAGAAACATTTATTATGTCTACTGTTTTCACTCTGTTTTTCCTGCTATTTTTAAAATGAGTATCTCATGGTATTTTGCATAAACTGCTTAGAGTTTTTATTACTATCATTATCATTATGTGGTGTATATATTTTGCTGAATAAATAAACCCTGAACCATTAATTAATCCTGGCCAACTTTACCCTTGCATAATATGCGAGAAGTGTGCAGGTGACAGAGAGAAGAAAACAAGAGCAGAAAAACAAGTACGTTAAATTTGTCTGGAACCAAGTTGGTTTTCAGAAAAGGAACTAAAACAAGGCTTCTTATGCAGTTCTGCAGTGTGGGCAACAGTTCCATGCACAAAGAGATGAATGAGAGTTATGAGTTCAAATGCAGACAGGGGGAGGGGAAGAGGGGGTTAAGAAGAAAAAGATAGTAAAGCACTTTGCAAAATTAAAAGGTGCTCTCTCGGTTACACATTGTCATGAAAACCAAGGAAAGGGGCAAAACACAAGGCCATTTTCAACCATACAGCCAACCAAGATGCCTTAAATTGGTAGAGAAAGGGTTAAAGTTGTATTTGTACCTGTTTTGGGGTGTTTAGAATGTGAAGACTGGAAACCAGGAGTAAGGAACCTTTGTGGCCCGGTGGGCCAGATCTCCCCACACTCCACGGGCCAACTTTGACAAGTGGATGAACTGCTCACCTGTCAATCATCTGACATCACAATGACATCAAGCGGCTGGTAGGTAGGTGGCCCTGCCCACCTGTCGGCTGACCCACAGGGCTGAGGGGACAGAGATGCTTCACCAAGGAATGCACTCGTGAAGCAGCCCCCAGCAGGGTTCAATCCTGCTCCCTGCAGGGGTCCTCACCACCAGGGAACACACTGGTGAAGCAGGATTGAACCCCACCCATCGGTTAATGTCACTCAGTGAGTGATGTCAGCTGATTGAGTGGCATATTCCCCAGAGTGGCTGGGGAAACCCAGACAGATGGGTGGGGTATAAAGAATAAATTTATTATTTATGATTATCAACAGGTGGGAGTCATTTGGGGAAATGGTCTCATGGGCCCAAGTAGACCCCATGACGGTCCCAAATTGGTCCATGGGCCGAATGTTTCCCACCTGTCAGGAGTCCAGGTTCCCAGCTTGATAACACAGTAAGCATATGTAATTAAAAAGGAGGATTTATTGCAAAAACAGATAGCTCCAGACAGCTCTAACAAAGCCTCTGGCATCATTACTCAAGATGACCCTTCTGAAGACTCCTTCCGGTGTCTATAGAATATATTAAACTTTCGCACCTTATGTCTCTTGTTTTGCTTCCTGTCTAGCAGCCCTCCCATTCGCTGACTCCTCGGACTTATTGGATCATCTCCATCCTCCTCCTTTTCCGAGAGACTCTCTCTGTGTCTGTTCGCTCCTGTTTGAGCTCCCTGAGAGCTTTGGCTGTGTTCCAGCCCGCTCTCAGCTACTGCCTTATCAGCCGGCCCATTAAGGTCAGGAAGATCCAAAGTCTGCAGCTGCCGTCTCTCCCCTGCCTGACTAACATCTAAGCCTCTCTGTTCCTGGCTGCTTTCTGCTGTTGGCTGCAAACCTTCACTTGGAGCTGGCTCATTCCTGACACCACCCCTGCTGTAAATAATCACAAGGGAACTCACCAGTTTGCACAACTCACTGGGCTTCTGTGTTTTTTTCAGAGCTGTGTGCCTCCCCACCCTTCCCCATGCATATGAGTTGGGTGCTCAGTGCTGACACATAAAAGCTCTTTTCTTTTTTTGAGTGAGAGGAATGACACAAGTGGCGCCTCTGCGCAATCAACCATCAAAATGAGGAGCACAGCATGGTGTAATGGGCAGGGCATCCTCTTCCACCAAAAGGAGGCCCATTAAGTTGCATGGATTTGGGCACTGAAAATTCTTCATATATCCAGTGGGTGTTGCGAATTACAGAGCAACACATAAGTGAATGCTGACAAGACCAATGTAAGAGCTTGTTCCATATTTTTTTGATGTTCACCACACAGGCGTTGTGCACATTCCCTTGTAAAAGTCAATAGTTGCTACATTTTGTGGATCAACAGGAACATATCCTTTCAAAAAAGTTCTGGTCAGCGGGTCACGAGTTATGTTCTTTTGTGAGAAACCATACATCTAGTATTCTTTCTCCGATAAAGCAGGAAAACAAAATAAATGCATCTAAGAGGTAGGAAGATGAAAGTCATGAGTGTGGGGTCTAAATGGAACACCCCTATCTAATGGCATTTATTTACAAACACAGCATGAACAGAACCATAAATCAATTATGAACTGTGATTTAGTTGCATCAAAGCCAATGTGTGATCTTGTGCCTATATACATTGTCTTTTCAGTATGTGATCAGGTATCCCCACATCAATGAAGTGGATTATTTTGGGTGGTGGGGTTAAGAATGCATCTCACTTACTCAAAGAAGAGAAATGGAGAGTGACCACCTTCTCTGCTCCCCTCTGGAAACTGCACAACTGTTTCAAAGCAGGAGCTTCAAGCTCCAGTCTAAGGAAACATTCACATATTACAGTGGTACCTTGGTTCTCAAACACCTTGGTACTTAAACAACTTGGAACCCAAACACTGAAAACCCAGAAGTAGGTGTTCTGGTTTGCGAACTTTTTTCAGAAGCTGAACGTGCTCCATTTTTAGTGTTGCGCTTCCGATTTGAGTGCCACACATCCATTTTGGGTGTTACTCTGAGGTCTGTCTGTTTTTGCTATTTATTTTGCAGTTTTGTTTATGCTGCCCTTTTTGTTTTGTTTTTTGTGACTGTGTGGAACCCAGTTCAGCTACTGATTGATTGAATGATTGATTGTGTGACTGCAGTACTTCGTTTATTGCTTTCATGTTATGGATCAATGGTCTCATTAGATAGTAAAAGTCATGTTAAATTGCTGTTTTAGGGGTTGATTTTAAAAGTCTGGAACAAATTAATCCATTTTGCAATACTTTCTATGGGTGGGAAAGCGTGCCTTGGTTTTGGAACGCTTTGGTTTTGGAACGGACTTCCGGAACGGATTAAGTTTGAGATATGGGATTGAGGGGCAACTCCCATCTCTTGCGGGGGTGCAATTAGTGCCAGCATCGTTCGTTAAGAGTTTGGGGTGTAATCTTCAATACCTCCCTCTCTATGGAGGCGCAGATTACAGCTATAACAAAGGCGGCATTTTTTCATCTCCGCCAAGCTAAGCAGTTGGCTCCTTATCTCTCTCGCCCTGACCTAGCCACTGTGATCCACGCGACGGTCACCTCCAGACTGGATTATTGTAACTCGCTCTATGTGGGGCTGCCCTTGAGACTGACCCAGAAACTCCAGCGGGTGCAGAATGCCGCGGCGAGACTCCTTATTGGGTCTTCGCTGCGAGATCATATCCATCCGGTACTATACCAGCTGCACTGGCTCCCGGTGGAGTACAGGATCAGGTTTAAGGTGCTGGTTTTAACCTTTAAAGCCCTATACGGCCTAGGACCCTCGTACCTACGGGACCGCCTCTCCTGGTATGTCCCACAGAGAAATTTACGGTCTGCAAATAAAAACATCCTAAAGATCCCAGGCCACAGAGAGGTTAGGCTGGCCTCAACTAGAGCCAGGGCTTTCTCGGCCGCGGCTCCAATCTGGTGGAACGCTCTGTCACAAGAGACTAGGGCCCTGCAGGACCTGACATCCTTCTGCAGGGCCTGCAAGACAGAGCTG